CATAAAATAAATAGGCTGTAAGGAAATAGTGTACTTTACATAGATTATATACTTTAATTGATGTAACTTTAAATTACAGTATATGACATACAAGCATAGAGGATAATGAAAAGTATCACACACAGTACTGTACATTATGCAACCTCTTGCCACTGCTGGTTCCCGGCACAAATGAATGACCATACAGTATATAAAATAGTGAAATACCATATAAATTGAAATACTGTATGTACATTATAGATAAATATTAATGTAATGGAGAAAGTGTTATTTGCTTCTGTTGCTAAATTGAAATGATTCAGGATTGCTATTATAAGTATTAAAATTTTTCTCATGGGAATAGGTTTGAGATTTACACTGCAGCTGTAACCTAACTCCTTTTCCTGTCAAATACACCAATACTGTGAAGCTCATCACACAGTGTTGCATTTTCCAGGAAGACAGTACTGATTAATAATGAGTGTTGTACTGTATATTATAGTAATCAACTTTTGTTATCAACTTAGGATAAAAACAACTTATGACTAAAGTATACAGTAAAACTTTGAATTACATGGGGGTTACAGTCTTAAAAAGCCTCATCTTATTGATTCATGCAAACTAAATTTAACTTCTTTTGGACAAAAATGGGGATGCATTCCTGTATTTAAATAAAATACTGCTACCCCAAAGTCTTGATCTTCACAAAGAAATTAACCAGTATTAAAAGTCTTCAACAATAGATGACTTCTGTTCAACTCCACACTAAATACAGTTACAGTGGAAACCTGTTTGATCACAAGGTTTGGTTCCTGAACTCCTCGTGGTGGGAAAATTAGCTTGATTCAGCTTATTTTAGGGACCCAATGAAATTTCCATGATATAGTTAATTACTTTCAAAAACCTAACACTCCAATTGGTCTCCATTGTACATGAACAACAAATATTTGGATGCTGTACCCAGTCTTGTGAGCAAAGTTTCAATGCTCACACTACCTAGTGCATTTAACTAGTCAAACATTTGCAGTTTCCTTAATGGTGTAAGTAGTTTGTTCTTGATTCCAGGAGTACATGTAATAGGTTCTGTATTCGGCAGGCAGTTATTATTAAAAAAATAGTTAAAATTTTTGACATTGGTTCCATTTAAAAATAAAATTGGTCTAGAAAATTTGATGGTGTTCCAAAGACTCTACTGGATACCTGTATATAAACCAAGGGTTTACTGTATATTTTGGCTTTTGGCAATATTACACACTATCTAAAACATTAAGTGAATATTCCAGTCATGTGTTGTGATTTTATGAAGTGTTATTAAAATAGCATAGTTTTATATTTAGCAGTATACAGGTGAACCCTGATAACTGACGTCCCGTTGTTCACTGATTCGCATAACCGATGATTACATATAGGGGGATACCCCACGTTCCGCTGATACCCCGGAGATCTGACAATCAGCAGAGCTGGCGTGGTGCAAATTCTTGCCACCAGGGGGCTCTGCCTGACTCATTCCTGCCATTTTTGCTCTTTTTTATACTTACAGTACTATGATGTCTCTGACTGTGTTTTTTCATTTTTTCTGACTTAATGTTTTAATCAATCATGCCTAAACACCCCAGTGATAGTTCCTCTTGTGCTGGGCAACTTGATGTGATATGTATGATAAGGCATAATAATTGGTGATTGACCAGCAAAGAGTGGTAGAGACTTGAACTTGCTACTCTAGACCGTTTCTACCATCTTCAACACGTATACAAGTATCAATTTATGCTTTACATTGCTTATTCAAGGCTTATTATGCTTGCTTTATATGCCTGCTTTATTTTCTTGCTTGACAGTGTAAATTACAGAGATATTTCAAAAGTAGATGGGAGTTTTTGAAGGGTGGCCAGTCCCTAACCCCCTGAATTTGTTATGTTCTTATGGAATTAATTAGTTAGATAGCCATTGATTCACCAACCAACGTCAGTTATCGGGGTATGTCTGTACTTTTTTCTTATTAATATAGTTTGAATTTTTCATAATTAGAAAATCATGAGTGTTGAGTGAAACTACTGTATGTTCTAGTCTTGAACTGTGCCTATACTGTGACAAGAGTAAGAAAGTTTCACCAACTTATTATCAAAAATTACTTTTATATATCTTGCATAGAGAGAGTGGGTCCCATAGGTCTTATGGCCTGTCAGGAACAGTGAATATATACACTGAAGACAAAGCCATTTTTTTTGGTACAGCACCGCACTCAACTTTCACTTCTTCATGTGCAAAGGTTTGGGACCCAATCACAGCCAGATGAACTGGGGGGAACATGGGCATGAACTAACGACCCTAAGACCAGGAGATGAGTGATATATCCACTTGGCCACTGGCCTGTAATTGGATAATCTGAAATGTGACATTTCTTATTGTTCAAGCTTGATTTAATAAGACAGAATCTTGGAAGGTACTGAAATTCAATCAGAGTGTAGCAAGTAGATCTAACATGATGGATATTATATTTTGTGTAGAATTTTAATGGCTGTGGTGTGTAACAATGTACTGTATATACACTATATTTTTTTTAATACAACTGTACTACTATAAATTGGGAGCCCATGTCAATGGTAATTAAAATTCTAATTACCCAGTACATGTAGGTTAATCTTTTTTGTGAGTATGTTTAGCTTTATAAAATGGATATGCAAACACAGAATAATTTGCAATAGATAGAAATATGGGGTCTTTAAATAATATAACCCTTCACTATCTTGATTACAGTCAACCCTCGCTTTACGCGGTCCCACATTCCGCGTTTCCACGGTACCCTGCCGAAACCGGAATGCTCACATTCCGCGGTGCGTGTACCCCTTTACGTGGAGAGCGGCTGGCGAGCCGCGCCATTTTTGGATCCAAACCTCCCGCCATCCGCCATGTTGTGTAAGCGGCGCGAGCAGGGTGCGCACAAGGTCGCCCAGTCATCAAAACATTACCGAGTTCTTCACCTGCCACCCACCACAGCCGGCCCAAGTCAGTGATAGTGATAATTATAGTGAGGATATGGACTTTGAGGGGTTTGACAAAGAGGCCCTGCAAGCCTCTGTGGTGGATAGTGATACAAGTGATACAGGTGAGGGCCAATAATCTGCCCTCTGCCTCGGAACCAACCCCCCATCCCCGTGTGCCCAGCCATCTTTTCTACTAATGTATGTGTTAAAAAACTTAATATTATTGATATTTCTCTTAATTATTAATTGTGTGTGCATACCATCCTAAAATTAAGAAGTTATTTTTACTTCAATGTAGGTATTGTGTCTGAAAAAGTGGAGTTTGGGGGGTCAGCCCGGTCTCTATTTCAATTAATCCCATATGTTATGTTGTTCACTTTCCGCGGTACCCTGTGGGTTGAATTAACCGCGTAAAGTGAGGGTTCACTGTATTCTAATTTTGTAAAAAAAGAAAAAATTATAAACCGATTTCAAACCATTCAACTTGCACATTTCCTTGGCTATAACTCCAACTGAAACAATTGTTCAAGCATTGTTTGTAATTTTATTATGCTGTAACCACATTCAGGATCCGCACATTTCTTCCTAGCCAATCAGAAATACTCCCCACCATCCCTTTCCATGAGTGTTTCATATCCAAGCTTTTACAGTTGAGTATTACAAGGCTTTCTTTGATTTTTATTTGGGGGAGGGAAACAGAGCGTCTCAGCTCTGGTGAGAAAAAAAAAATTATCAGTACTGTAGTTTGTGCTGCTTATTCTCTAATAGGGTAACAGTGGTGGCTACTTGCTAACAGTTATGTTTTGTGGTTTTGGTGATAGAGAAGAAAAGTTGTGCAATAGGAATGCCAATATTTTTCTAAACAAATATTAAATGTTGCTAAACTATAATTTTAAATATCTGTATTTTATTTCTCAATTTTACAATAAATTTGAATTTATTTTGAAAGCTATTTGCCTTGTACTGTAAAAAAAAAAACTTATTTGTAAATCATTAGAGGGTCAATTTTACATTAATTTAAATAGCATTTTTATTTATTAATTTATTGGAAAGAAAATGCAAAAAAAAAAATCTTTGACCATTAATGACTTTTATTGCAAGTTGTGGGTATCATTGTGAATGGGTAAACTTTTAACATACTGATACCTGTAGGTCTAAATATTTTGTGAATGGATAAATTTTGTTTTGGTTATGAATATTGAGAATATTGGTGCAATATTTTTTTATGCTGTTCAGGTGTTCATATTCTTTATATCACTTGATTCATTAAATATTCTGTTATACAGTGTTTGTTTAATAATCAAGGTAGTCCTCAGCCATTGTCACCAAGAAGTAATAGCATTGTTAAACATTGAAATAGTTGCAGTAGGAAAAGTGCCTTCTTTGTAGAATTCAGAGAATTGTCAACTTTGTAAACTAGTGTTAAAAATCCATTGGTGCAGTTTTTTAATGCAACATTGTTTCATTGTACAGTTTGCTAAATGCAAAATATAATTTGATTTTTTTGTAATTAGGAACCAGTCACTGAAGATGTTGGTGAATATTCAGAATAATGAACATAGTTTACATTCTGTAATACACTATGATTAAGATTAGAAAATTGCCCAAAGGGGTTCTAATTGTTTGAAAGAGAAAATAAAACAAGCAAAAATAGTCACATCAACTACTGTATTAAGGCTTTTTACACAACTAAAAATGACTGCATTAAACAAGGTCAGTTGTACTTGTGGGTGTGCCTGCTTATTCTTGCAATGTAGGAAAGTGTAGGCCAAAATCTGTGGCACTGCCTTCATTGTGTAGAGTGGATGGGTAACAATTTTGGTTCTTACACAAGTTAAATTATTTCATGTATGTTCAATATTCTGAATACCATGCTATAACAATAAATATAAGACATTATTTTCTCTGTTCCTGACATTCCCGGATATAGTTTGTGAAGATTGTAGGGTCCTAAGGGAAGACTTGATACTTTCCTAAACATTACCAAATAGCTATATCTAATAATTTAAGTTGCCAAGGCTGTGTAAGAAAAATAAATAATATCATAATTGACTGTTTAATGTCCACATACTCTACCTTCAGAATTAAAAGTTTTCCGTATGCTACAACTATTACATGCCATCATTACAAGTAATCTTTTCACAAAACATTTGCAGAGGTTCCAGGGGCAAATAACTTCATATTCTTGTCCTCCAATTTAAATTGAAAGTAGTGAACAACTGGCAAACACTGATGAGGACCGAGACCATTAAATACTGTTATTTTCAGATCACCGTGAACCTCACGTGATAGTCCTGAACTCAGTCCTCGTAAGGACATGTGCATCACTGCCGAGTGAGATATAATTTTTGTAAGAGAACTTGCATCTTCATCTTTTTCATCATCTCTTGTGACAACTATGAGAGAATCCGATGCATTATTAGGCCCAATGTGGATGAGGTTCTTGCAGTAATGACTAAAAATAGCAATATCCTTTGTCTGTATACCCAGATTCAATAAAGATGTAATGTTTTCTATAATTATCAAAAAATATTTGCAATCATCTCTCCAAGGCTGAACAGTTTGTTTGATGAGTTTATACAAGTTTCTGAGGGGATCTTCACAGGTTTTCAAAATAAAAGCAAAAGGGTGATCTTCAATGTCTTCAATGCCACCATCAAGGACCTCATTGAGTAATTTCAATCCCTCAATCACTTTAATGGTGCTCTGATCTGAATGTTGCTTTAAATTGAATCCTAATTTACTGCCAATGTTACAATAATGTCCCCATGTGTGCTGCATTGTTAAAAAGCATACTGGATGGCTATTTGTTACACCAGAGGCCAGAAAGTGAGTCAGTAGTCCACTTGCCGAGGTAGTAGCGGTTTCAGATATCAAGATGAGACCGCCATCTTCAACAGCTACACCACTGCCCCCTAATGCACTCTTGACAGACTCGAACATCCTGAGGATTAAATAAAATTTAATATTATATTGATTATTATGATCAAATGTTGGTTATTAAACATCTGGGTATTAAGGAAATTCTAATAAAGTATTTAATTTCATAGTTCAATCAACAGTACAGTACTGTAGTTGTGGAAGGTCCAACTTAGTCATTAGGTTTTATGCAACTTGGTCAAATAACAAGATATAAAGATTAACCTCAAAAGTTATTTTCAAGCATTCAGTACTGACCCTCGATGTTAAGATTAGCATTTGGGCATATAAATCAGTTCCATTACTTCCCATTTTATTGTGAAAACCAGAGTATGTAAGAAGAGTGAGAGTAACACACACACACCTCTGTTTGGGAGGGAGGGTGTCGCGGTCACTTTTACCCCCACAAAGGCTAAACAACTGGGCCAGCACAACACAAACTGAACTAACTGGAATCTACTGTAGCCACAGACTACCTTAAAGGAAATGGAGGTGGGGTGATATTCTCAAAGTGCTTTGAAATCGATGAACAGCCCGTCAGGCTCTACGTCTAAAGTTGTATGTGATATTAAAAGGAATGTGATAACTGTCAATGAGAACAACTTTCGTATCGAATTTGTGTGGATCTCGTCCCATGTTGGAATCGGGTATCATGACCTTGCTGATAGACTGGCCAATGAGGCATGTAAGAAAGAAAATGTTGACCTTGGCCTGTTCAATGCTGTACTTAAAAACATTCAAGTCAGAATCATGAACTCTGATCTAGAAGTGAGAAATGCAGAGACCAGGCAGCTGTAGCATTAATAAATACGACAAATTTTGTGACAAGAGGTACCGGTATGGCCAGCATAAGGACAGAACCAGACAATGTGATGTAGTCGTGGCCAGAATTAGGCTAGGATACAGACACATCTGTAACTCAAGCAACCGACATTTTTTTGGCTGGGTCAGTTTCCAGTAAGTAATGTCTAATCACATTTAAAAAATCAGAAAATCGTTTGAATTTGGCGCCACTTCACCCGTGGTTCCATTTCTAGCCACTAGAGGCAATGTGTGCATCCTCCACGTTAGCCAAACACACTGGGCACCGCCATTACAGCTCCGCTTACTTGAATGTCTGTCAGTGTAACCGCTATCATTGCCTCATCCATCCAGCACGCATAAGACAGGAGCTACAACTAAGCGCAAACGAGTTGTGCTTACTCTAAAGCAGAAGATGGATAAATGTAAGAGGTTTGCAATCCAATTGGCTCTAGTAGAAAAAAAACATAAGATTCTTGCTGTATATATGACTCTTGGCAATTTTAGACCCCATTTGCATTCTGTTGTTGATAACACCCTATTGGTTCTACTTTGTAAAGAAAATGATTTAAAGTATTTTGGTCATGATAAAATATTTTCTAAGGTGATTGAGGATTTAAAAGATCTAGAAATAAATGGTATTAAAATTGGTAATGAAACTGTAAAGGGTACAATTTACTGTATCACCAGAGACAACTTAGGTTCTCATGGGATTGGTGGCTTCTCTGAAAATTTCAGTACAGTTCAACACTTTTGCCGATACCGTACAATCACTTTAAGCGATTTTCGACGTAACCCTATTAGTGTAGGTCCAAAGAGAACAATTAAAAAGTAAAACTTGGCTGTAAAACATGTCTTAAATGATGATGGTGCTGTAAATAGTGTTGGTGTGAAATTTGATTCTGCTTTCAATGCTCTAAAATATTATCATGTTTGTCAGTGTGGTCTACCACCTTGTCTTGGCCATGATATTTTTGAGGGAGTGGGGACTTCTGATGTAGCCATGATGTTGAAGAATCTAATTAAAGAAAAGAAATGGTTGACATATCAAGAACTCAACCAGAGACAAACAAATTTCCCTGAAAGTGGTACAGATGCTAGCTCTAAACCATGTGAAGTAAATGCAGCAAGTGATAAATTAGGTGCGCAAGCAGCACAAAACTGGTCTTTAATACGGTTATTGCCTCTCATTATAAATGACAAAGTTAAGAATGCAGATGACCCAGTATGGCAAATGTTCATTTTATTGCATAATATTGTGGAACTCATTTGTGCACCGAAGATTAAAGAGACAGATATTGCTTATCTTGCCATCCGTATTGATGAATATCTAGTATATAGACCTGTCTGGCCTAAGTATGGCAATGGGTTATCCACTCTCACCTGTATTAAGCAACCTATATATGGAATTCTTTGAAAAGAAACTATTAAGTAATAGTTTACCACCTTCAGCAATCTGGTTTAGATATGTTGATGATGTATTATGTCTCTGGCCATGTAATGAGGACCTAAAAGCTTTCCTGCCACAACTTAATAACTTAGCCCCCTCGATCAAATTCACTGTGGAATTAGAGCATGACTGTAAATTGCCTTTCCTAGACTGTCTGATCCACAGAATAGGTAACACTTTTAAGTTCAGTATTTATAGGAAACCTACTAATGTGTGTTCATACATAAGAACATAAGAATGGAGGAAACTGCAGCGGGCCTATTGGCCCATACTGGGCAGTCCCGTTTACACCCAACCCCTATTGCTCATATAAGCATCCAACCTATGTTTGAAGCTATTCAGCGTATTGGAGTTAATGATGATATTTGGTAACTTGTTCCATTCATCCACTACTCTGTTTCCAAACCAGTGTTTACCTATTTCGTGCCTAATTCTAAATTTGTCCAATTTAAAACCATTGTTACGAGTTCGCTCCTGGTTGGATAGTTTGAGTACCTTTGTAATGTCCCCTTTGTCTAGCCCTGACTTCCATTTATACACCTCTATCAGGTCGCCCCTCACTCTACGTCTCTTGAGGGGGTGCAAATTAAGATGCTTAACTTGTCTCTATACTCAAGGTTCCTAATGCCTGGGATTAGTCTTGTCATTCTCCTCTGAATTCTTTCCAAGGATTCTATATCCATTCTGTAATACGGTGACCAGAACTGAACTGTGTAATCCAGGTGTGGTCTCACAAGTGCAAGATACAGTTTTAGGATGACCTTGCTAGTCTTGTAACTAACACTCCTTTGTATGAACCCAAGTACTTTATTAGCCTTGTTACGAGAAAAAACACATTGTTTACTTGGCTTAAGGTTCCTACTTATCATTACTCCTAAATCTCTCTCGCAGTCGGATTTCTCAATGGCATCGTTGTTCATCTGGTATCTGGTTTCCCTGTTTACATCTCCTATACTGAGAACTTTACATTTGTCCACGTTGAATTTCATCTGCCATTTTTCAGACCATTCGAAAAATTTGTTTAGATCTTCCTGTAGTTTTGCGGAGTCCTCGTCAGATTTAATAACACGTCCTATTTTAGTGTCATCAGCAAATTTACTTATGTTGCTGTCTATGCGATATCTATATTAAGTTTATATATAATAAATAATAATGGTCAAGTACTGAGCATAGGGAACTCCACTAGTGACGTTGCTCCAATGGGACTTTAGTGCGTTAATACTCACTCGCTGTTTCCTGTCCTGTAACCACGCCCTAATCCATTTAAGGATATTACCTGATGCCATGTGCTTCTACCTTTCTAATTAGTCTTTCGTGGGGGACTCTGTCGAAGGCTTTGCTAAAGTCGAGATATACCACATCATAATTGTGCCCCTCGTCCACCAATTCGAAAACTGATGAAAAGAATGTTCATAGATTAGTTAGACATGAACGCCCGCTTGTGAAGCCATGTTGGGAATCATTGATCAACTTGTGCTTCTCCAGGTGGTTTCGAATACAGTATTATCCCGCCTAACGCGGTTTCACTTAACGCGTTTTATCATATACGCGGTGCCTCGCCAGAGCTGAACTTTCACTTAACACGGATTTTTTCCACATATACGCGGTGAGTGTCCAGCTCGAGACGCTATTTTTAGATTTGCCCCACCCGCCACCCTGCCTGACTGCCTATTTTAGCTCATAAAATTCATACAAATTACCCGGCCAGAATATAATTTGCATTGCTGGAATTCTTATAATTTGGTGATCATTTTGAATATAAACATCATATATTTTGCATTAGACATACAAATTTTAGATAAAATGTTTTCTCTAGTAAATATGTTATCTTTTGTGCAAAATATATGACATTTATATTCAAAATATTCCTGGTCTTACAAGGAATCCAGCAATGTCAATTATATTATCCTAACTTTAGTTTGAGGTATTATTTATTAAAATTTAGTGGTTTTCCCACACATCTCCTTGGGACGGTTGGTGGGGTGGGGTGGAGGGAGGGACCGACCGACCATCTGTTACCCCGTGAAGAATATTTTTTTTTTTTTATTAACTGAAGATATTTGTTTTAGCTCATAAAATTCATACAAATTACCCGGTCAGAATATAATTTACATTGCTGGAATTCTTATAATTTGATGATCATTTTGAATATAAACATCATATATTTTGCATTAGACATACAAATTTTAGATAAAATGTTTTCTCTAGTAAATATGTTATCTTTTGTGCAAAATATATGACATTTATATTCAAAATATTCCTGGTCTTACAAGGAATCCAGCAATGTCAATTATATTATCCTAACTTTAATCTGAGGTATTATTTAATACAAAATGTTAAAATTTATTTTTTTCACCCACTCTTCTCTTGAAGGGAGGATTGGTGGGGGGTGGGGGGGAGGGTTGGGACTGACCGCGCGGTTGGAAGAGGGGGGGAGGCAAGGTGGGGTACTTTGATTGACAGATAGTGTCCTGAAGAATATTTTTTTTTTTATTAACTGAAGATATTTGTTTTAGCTCATAAAATTCATACAAATTACCCGGCCAGAATATAATTTACATTGCTGGAATTCTTATAATTTGGTGATCATTTTGAATATAAACATCATATATTTTGCATTAGACATACAAATTTTAGATAAAATGTTTTCTCTAGTAACTATGTTATCTTTTGTGCAAAATATATGACATTTATATTCAAAATATTCCTGGTCTTACAAGGAATCCAGCAATGTCAATTGTATTATCCTAACTTTAGTTTGAGGTATTATTTAT